GTGAACTGTGGATGTTGAAATGTGTAAAGTATAAGATTGACATGTTTAACATGCTTGTCATCTGATGTGGCAGAGCCTTACGTTTGCTATTCCAACGTTGTGTATCTTGTTTCATATGCATTCCTACGGCTTTTGATTGCTTCAAGCAAGCCGTCAAGACCATGAGTTCAACCGTTTCAACTTCTCAAGGATTTCTTCCCCAGGCAAGGCATGGTTCGTTTGAATCCTCAAATGTTCTTGCTTCTAGTTCTTTAGGTCAGCCCGATCTGGAATCCAATGGTAGCAATGAAGTGGAATTGATTTCTGCATCCTGGAACCAGGATTATGGCTGCTTTGCTGCTGGCACAAGCCATGGCTTTCGCATTTATAATTGTGAGCCTTTTAAGGAAACTTTCAGACGTGATCTCAAAAGTGGGGGATTCAAAATTGTTGAGATGCTGTTCCGGTGCAACATTCTGGCACTTGTTGGTGCTGATGCTAATTCTCAGTATCCTCCAAACAAAGTTTTGATCTGGGATGATCATCAGAGCCGGTGCATTGGTGAATTTTCATTTAGGTCTGAGGTTCGGTCTGTGAAGTTAAGGCGGGATCGCATTGTTATTGTTCTTGAGCACAAGTTATATGTTTATAATTTCATGGATTTGAAGCTTCTTCATCAGATTGAGACTCTGGCAAATCCCAGAGGACTGTGCTGCCTTTCTCATGATTCAAATACATTTGTGTTGGCGTGCCCTGGGCTTCATCGGGGCCAGGTCCGAATTGAACACTTTGGGTTGAATGTCACGAAGTTCATTAATGCTCATGATTCTCATATTGCATGCTTGACCTTGACAATGGATGGCTTGCTTCTTGCGACTGCTAGTGCAAGGGGCACTTTGATAAGAATTTTCAATACAATGGATGGCACTCGTTTACAAGAGGTAGCTTGTTAAAAATATAGTTTACTAGATGTCATCTTGAAATTTCACTGCAGTGCTTATGTAGTTGTATGTTACTTGATAGGGAAGTTGTATCATATGCTAAAAACTTATTCTGAGGTACCAGTTATTTGTTACTTGCTTTTATCACTAATATAATGTTTAATGATGCTCACTTCATTGTTCATCATTCCCTTACTTGGATTAGATTCCTCAGCAGCTGTGGAAGCTTCTGGATTAGTATCCAATTAAATTTTAAACATTAATTGTACTATTTTCAGAACTGATTGATAATACCACTTTTCTGCAGGTATTTAAACATTAATTGTACTATTTTCAGAACACAGGAATACATTCCCCTCTCTCTCCCCTTAGATGAGCAGCTAATAAAATTTTAAACAGCATTTTATGTGCTGATAATACCACTTTTCTGCAGGTGTATGTAGTTGTATGTTACTTGATAGGGAAGTTGTATCATATGCTAAAAACTTATTCTGAGGTACCAGTTATTTGTTACTTGCTTTTATCACTAATATAATGTTTAATGATGCTCACTTCATTGTTCATCATTCCCTTACTTGGATTAGATTCCTCAGCAGCTGTGGAAGCTTCTGGATTAGTATCCAATTAAATTTTAAACATTAATTGTACTATTTTCAGAACTGATTGATAATACCACTTTTCTGCAGGTAAGAAGAGGAGTTGATAGAGCAGAGATTTATGGCATTGCACTCTCTCGGAATGTCCAGTGGTTGGCTGTATCGAGTGACAAAGGTACTGTTCATATCTTCAGTCTAAGAGTTCGAGTGGCTGGAGAGGACTCATCCTCTCATCTGAGCCCTGCTCAGGGCCCGTCATTGTTAGAACAGAATTCATCATCTTCCCTTGATGGCCTTATTTCTGCAAGCACTAGTGCGAATCCTGGCTCTTCATTGTCTTTTATGAGAGGTAAGAAAGTTCTGTTGATAAATGGTTCTAAAGATGAACCTATAAATCCTTTCTTATTCTGCTTCCTGTTTTTCCTAGTTTTCCATTCTCTGTTCTTTTGGTTTGAAAAGAATGGAAAGGCTTTAAATGACTCTAGTAACAACAACGTAGTTCATGGCTTGGATGAAGACATATAACTCCTATAATGAAATACATGGAGTAAATTTGATTTTTAAGCAATGAAACCTCGCGATATATTGTTGAAAGTTGCAAAAACATGAAAGAAGTGTCTAAAATATCATCTCATTTCTTTTCCCAAGATGTGTGATAGAGAATGCAAGAAATGGGAAGAGTGAAAAGATGTAAATCTTAAATCTTACTACCTACTAATTATCAAACCTTGAATCTCCTATGGTTCTTATGAATCTACAGAAACCAAGGTTCTTGAAAGCAAGAAGGAAAAAGCATTCAACATTGTAATGGTAAAATGATGATAAGTTGATTGTTTGCTTGTCAATCAGTTCCGGGAGACATGCTGTTTCCCTTGCAATGTTGCTTCTAGTTGCTTCTCTTCATGAGATTTGTGCCTTCAACTCTTCAAGTATAGGATTGCCAATTTCAAATTTTCACCAAATTTAACTTCCATCTCTTCTATTTTTTTTGAGAACTAGCTTAAGAACGAGCTTAAGAATGACTTCTTGAAGTAATATTAAAAAACTCAATATCCATCTCAAATGACCTCTGTATATACATTATCCATGAAAAATTGAAGATAATTCCAGATAGCACTAAGTTGAGATTGGTAGCATGGAATGCCTTATCATTAATCACAACTTCTCATAAAACCATAGAGTTTGAACGATTCATGTTATATTTACCCCCTATCATATTGAAGAAATGCAGAAATCTAACCCAAAACTCCACTATATGCATCAAATCATCGATGTGATAGCTTGTTTTATTCTTTTTAAGAACCATCATTTTTGTTTTTCCCTGCTACGAACATTTTATGGAAGAAGTTTATGGAGTAATTCTGCAGCAGGCTAACAGAAGTTGCTGAACTAATGGATTTAAAAGTAAAACTAGAACTAATGAAACTGTAATTGGCTCCATGGGAAGTAACTACACCTCAACTGCCAAATGTTTTTGCGTTTGGAATTGCATTTGGGTGCATTTCGAAATTGTTTTTGGTTTGAAAAAAAAATTAAATTGATGTTTTTTTTTTAATGCTTTTTGATCATTTTAATGTATTGATGTTAAAAGTAAAAACAAAAATTCTTAAAAAAAATTATTTTGATGCATTTTCGAGCGAAAAATACTTTTGAAAGGCATCTCGCACCACTATACCAAACACTTGTAATCAATCTGAGTCACAAATCTGAATTTTCCATCTTTTCTTTCATTTCTTTCTTAGGGCAAGAAAGAGGGATTAGGCTTGTCCACTTGGTCTGAACTTCTTTTTTCTTCCCCTTTTTTAATCCACTTCCTGTATGTGAGATGGAGTCCTCTGTATGTGAGATGGAGTAGGTGCTTTGATTTCCTTTTGGCAATAATAGTAGGCACTATATTTGGTTTTTATTTCCTTAATAGCTTCTTATAATTCTTGTTATTACTATTTAATAAATGAAATTGGCTGGTTCATCAAGGGAGATATATATATATATATATATATATATATATATATATATATATATATATATATATATATATATATATATATATATATATATATATATATCTTATGGGAGACCTTTCCCACACGCATTATTCTTGTTTCTTTTTCTCGTAAATAAAGTCTCATATTTCTTGTGCTTGTCCAGGGGTTTTGCCAAAGTATTTTAGTTCTGAGTGGTCATTTGCTCAGTTCCACTTGTCTGAAGACACTGAGTACATCGCAGCTTTTGCATCTCAGAATACTGTCATTATTGTTGGCATGAATGGGAGGTAATGCGGTTATTTTCATCCCATTACCTAATGTTGTTATACATGTGCTTCTGTTTTCCTATTTGGCTGCACAAGAAACTATAAGCTTTTGAAAATTAAGGATTCAAAAATAAATAAATTATGGTCCATTAAAATTGATAACTCTAGCACTTAAAGAAAAAATGCTTGCTTGTCGTAATTCATTGTTGAACTTATGCTCTTCAAAGATTTAGTTTTTGAATCTCCATAATCGAACCAGCCACATCTTCCTGATCTGTACACTTTTTTCTGAATGAACGGGGAAGATAGAAAAGAAATGTAGATGGACATTGAAACTACTTTTCATAATTGAATGCACCTACTATGTGGATGGTTTAGCTAGTGTGCCTTCAATAATGACCATATTAGGTGGTGATCATTGTTGGCAAAGCTTGTTGTGGTAAGATTGTGGATATTGGACAGCAGGCACAACGATATAAATACAGTGTTTTGCATGTGTACTCTTTCTCTCTGTCTGTCGACAGAATAGTTCTTCACAATTTTCTATATCTTAAAGACTTTTCCATTACCAGCTTTTACAGGTGCAGATTTGATCCGGTTCATGGAGGACAGATGTTGCAGCAGGAATATGTCCGCTTTCTACAAACTGAGAGCCGGCCTGGATAGGGCAGGCTGTTAGTTATAACTACAATATTTATTCTCTATACTCTGTAAATATGATTTTAAACATTCATAAATGGTTACACAAATATATACATATAACTGTATAATATTCTTGGATTCAGTAATCAAGGCTCGATGACAGATGACAGTCTCGTGAAGTCGCAAACTTAGCGCTGAATTGTAGCTATTAGACAATTTACTTTGTGCTAATAGCTTGTACGCTGGGCATATTTGATCACTTGTTTTGGCTAGCAATTACATAAAACAAAACTGTGTAGCGTAGGTTTATAGAATGCAGGTTCCAAAACATTGATGACTGTGAAGTTCAGTAAAGATACATGCATTGAAAGGAAACTATTCATTTCTGCATTTGAAGTATATGAATCATATTTAAGATCAACCATATGACATGCTTCTACTGTAATTTTTCTTTGAAGAATGAAGAAAAAGTCTTCTCGCACATAACTGCAAAGAACCAAACGAAAATCTTGCCACAACTCTAGGGGTTGTTATCATCTGAAACAAGTACCAAGTAAGGTAGAAAAGAAAAAAGAAAAATATTCCAATAAATTATCCCTGTGATGTTGTCAGGGGAGTAAGACTTGCGCAATAAACGGTAAGATTTTCTGCAGAGCAAGGGAGTATCTTCATTCTAAATGTTTTCTTTTCCTCATCGTAGTAGAGCAGAAGACGAGTACCAGAGTTGAATATGATTTCTGTACCCTTGATGCACTGGAGTTCTCCAACAAAATTCGGAGAAATTTTGCTTATGTCGATTGTGCATGCTTTTGACCATATGGAATTCTCGGGATTGGTTAGTCTCCATATTGCAACATGGGATAATTCTAAAGTCTCCACCATGTGCAAATGCCCGCGTAGTTCCACCAGTTGCGTTGAATGTCGAGTAGGCGATCTCCAGTGACGAGGAGTGTCAGTCCTGTCAGCAGGATGAGTTATGGTTTGGAACTTCTCGTCACTAAGTTTAAACGAGACAATAAAATCGTTATGCCTGTGGAGTGCTTGATGTTGCCCAAGATCGATCTTCCAGTAAATAGTTTCGTTAGCAAAAGCTGGAAAACAGAACTGATCCACCAAATATGGGCAACCTTCTCTTACTGCCCTCCATTTAAGTCCTCTTTTCTCCGGAAGAAGAGTGAAAACCGAGCACTCTAGTTTGCAGTTCAAGGAAGTTCTTGATTGCCGAGGAATATTTAACCGCACAATCTTGTGTCTTTTTGCTGAGCTCAGATATCCAATCCCGAATCCTGCTATTCCACTTCTATCATATGGCAGTGCAAGAAGACGACGGGTGCTAGGGTTAAACACATAAATACGTGTCTCTGTAGCTAAGCAAAGCAAACCAAAGCAACCTGGCAATACGAGTTTAACAGGTTCTTGCACCTTAACCTGAATCGGACTGAACATGTTCCCCTCGGTGTCTGTCGGAATAAAGTTATACAGATACCGGCATCCAATGGGTTCAAGCGGCCGAAAATCAAAGTCAGGCCACCGCAAAAGGAATCGAGGTTTCCTCTGCGATCGATCGTGGTGCAAGGCTTGGAAGCCAAGGCTCGAGTCAATCATGTAGTGCCATAACTTGCATACAGAGTTGAACCTCAAAAGGGTCTTCACAGGCAGTCTTGATAGAATGTCTGCTACGATCATATTGTTTTTTGCGAGTTGAGAAACCATCTCCTTTCGATTCTGAGCCCTAATCGCCATATTTGATATCAAGCAAACCCTAATTAAACAATCAAGAGAATGTGGCTGATGGGAGATTGATATGTATATAAATTGAAAAAGGATGAACTCAAAGGCAATCCAACCACCGCATATATTGTTGTTAATCTAGGAAAAGTTCCGTTGTTGTATCCTTTTCTATTAGTATCTTCAATTATAATGTTTCGTATTTTGTTGTGTATTCGTCCCCTCTACTCTACAAGTATATATACATCAAGGAAATACATCAGGTTGTTTCGGAAATACTGATTTTATAAAAGGATTTTCCTTCGAAACATTGTATTTATGTGATTAATTAGCTGGTGGGATCTATTTATTCAATGCATGAGACCGTTTGGTAACTGAATTAGGAAAGAGTATTTAGCAAGATTTGCATTAGTTATATCTATATATCCAGTTATTCGTATCTAACCATTAATCTTAACTTATATTGTTTTTGTATTTTAAAAATATATTAAATTTTTATTTTATTTTTTGTTTGAAATTAAATTTTTGTTGGTGATTTTAGATTATTTTGATATTTCAATGTTAAAAATAAATTTTTTTTTTTAAAAATCTATTATTATAATATATTTTTAAATAATTAATCTTGACCAAGGAGTGATTAGGAGACAACGTGCAGTCTACAAATAGTGGCAAAGGTGGCATCATACTCTCGAATTGACATTTTAGCTTTGCTGTATGTTATTGTTTCTAGACATCATAGAATTAACATTTTGAGGTACCATGTACAGTATATTCATGTGATATTATTTAATTTATTAATTTTTGACAGTCTCATTTCAATCCCAAACATCAAAATCCAATATTTACATTTTGCTTCGTAAACTTCATTTATTACAATTTGATCCCTAATTATATAAAGAAAAGAATAAAAGAGAAGAGAAGCATAGTTGCGTCATCAGTATTGTTATGACTAATGGTCTTACAATGTTTAGTTATTAGTTAGTTATTTGACTTATGCTTCGTCATGAGTTATATGTTTTTCTCAATAAAACAAATATTAGATATGCATGTTTTTCCGACATGTTTTCTTACATAAAAAATTTATAAGTATAAATTGAAAAATTTGTAAATATCTAATTAAATAAATTGAGAATCATTTATATAAATAAATAAAAAAATCATTAATGATAACTAAAAATAAAACTAAAAAAATTGAGTGAGAGATTTAGATTAAGATTTGATATCAAAATATGAAACGTTTACTTGATTGTGGTTATTGAACTTATTTATTATAATCAAGTTTTTTATTCAATCAAACGATAATAAAAATAAACACATAAATAAAATTAATTGAATAAAATAAAAGAAAAAAATTATGCAAGGTTACACATATTATCTAAAATATAGTTTTTATATTTTTAAAATAAATTTTATCTATATAAAATATAAAACATTATAGATGAATCTGAACAATATCTTTAAAAATAAAATACATAGAGAATAATTAAAGAAAAAAATCTATTAAAAAAAGCTAAATAAGTAAAATAAAGATTCATAGAGGAGGGATATCAATTGAAACATTAATTAAAAAAATATTTTAAAATTTCAAATAAACATAAATTATCATTTGTTTTTTTTGTTTTTTTAGAATTCCACTATAATTTCAAAAATTACAACTAGGATTTTCAATTTCTATATACATGTTTCGTTTATCCAGATGAATATACTGAATAAAATTTCAAATTTCCCACTTTTCTTTATCTTATATCCTTTATATATTAAATTATTATTTTTATTTAAATTATTTCTATATTAAAATGTGAGGGTTAGTTTTTTTTTTAGGCTGGGATTTTACATCTTAGATATTGATATGTTAAAAGATGGCATTAATACCCTCCTTAATGATGGTAGAAGAGAGAAATACTTTTGAATATATATTATTGATGCAATAATTGGATGAGTAAAATATAAATAGAGATAATAGATCAGAAATTTTTTGTAACACAATGACAAGTGACCATGATGACATCATATCTATAATAAATATGTTATTTATTTTTCTATGTATCTTTGAAGCCAAACCTCGCTAACTATTATAATAAGAGCTATAGTGCGAAAAAATTATTGTGAATCAAGAGATTTTTTACTATAAATTATAATAGGAATTTTACTTTTAATTTCTCATCTTTTCATAAGTAGAAAAATGTTTCTTTGACTTTCTTTTTCTTTTTATTCATTGCTTCTTCTCTCTTTTTTTCTTTTAACATTTTACAACTTAGATCATGAAGAGAATGAAAATAAATCGGATGAAAGGAAACTGCAGAGAGAGGATGAAGATGGTGCCTTTTGTGTTCAGTACTTCTCCTTTTTCTTAATCAAATTGACAAAGGAAATGATAGAGAAGAGGGCACCAAATTAGCAAACAAGTGAACAAAGTCACTATAGAAAGAAAAAGACAACAAAAAAAGTATAGAATTTTATGATATGATTAATGGTGAGAAAATTATGTGGTTTATTTTTTTTTATTCTTAGGAGTTTGATGTGATTAATTATTTTTCCATTAACAAAATGGATGTATCTAATGAGAACATTTTTTATTTCACCATCAAACCCATAGATTTTTAAGGACAATTAGTGGACTTTATAGGTTTTAACATCAAAGGTGAGATCTTTTTCAAAGATCTAATATGTTTTTGTTGTTTTTTTTTTAAATAATATTCGGAGGAATAGAAATGGGTAACAAAAAGTTTGGACAACAAATTAATGGGCTGAGCAGGAGAACTTTAAGTATGTTCAATCAACATTTTATTGAAGGACAAAAAACATATCATTGTGTTGTTAACAAGAGAAACTTGCAAGAGAAATTTTTCTTTGTTCTTGATTAGAGTTTTTTAGAGTTGCAAGAGCGCAAACATGTTTCTAACAATTGGAATCAACATAGCAGAGTTTAGCTTAAATTCCGCATCTATTTACTAAAATTTAGAAGTGTTTAGTAGAAGTATTTGTTTTTTTTTTCTTAACAATACATCAGAAGTTCACAAGAAATTATTAATTTGATGTCCTAAGACCATTTAACATATTTGCATGAGTGTTTTGGTCCTCGACAAAACTATTATCTTTGGCTGACTCATAAAAATTATGCAAATCCTAGATGTCAAACCCAAGCTACCTAGATCTAGCAACAATGCTAGTCTCAAAGCACTTGGGTTTGACAACCACACTAAGCCCAAATGCCCATGTCAAACTTAAAAGTTATGGGTCTGGCAACCAAGCCAGACGCAAATGTCATGGGTTTACGAACCATGCCAAGTCCAAGCACCAATGCTAAACCCAACCATTATGGGTTTAGCAACCAAGCCACACTTAAATGCTATAGGTCTGGAACCACGCCAAACCCAAGCGATTTAGATCCTGGAATCACAAATCCATGTTATATGAACTTAGCAAAAATTACAATGGACAAGTTTTGATTTTTATTTGGATTCCACTCTTATTGTGTATTAGTTCCTCTACATTTTAAAACCTTTCTATATATATTACTATTTATATTTAGCAACCAAGCCACACTTAAATGCTATGGATCTGGAACCACGCCAGACCCAAGCGATTTAGATCCTGGAATCAGAAACCCATATTATATGAACTTGGCAAAAATTACAATGGACAAGTTTTAATTTTTATTTGGATTCCACTCTTGTTGTGTATTAGTTCCTCTACATTTTTAAACCTTTCTATATATATTACTATTTATGATTTATGTTAATTTTTCTTTGCATTATTAGCCATTAAAGTTTATGTTATCTTCTATATTTAGCACACACATGAATCAAGTTTAGCGGAATGACAGAAAAAAATATGGTGGCAGAGCGCTAGCATGTATCTAGTGTTACCTATAGAGTGATTATGAAGATAATATAGAAAAAAAAAGAAAAAAAAAAGCAATAATAGTAAAAATTGACCAGTCAAGACTTATAGTTGACCAACAACCAAGCCTCGTATTTCCTAATTCAACATTGGCTATGACTTGGCATTTGAAACTTGTGCACGTCATAGTAAATTGCAATGGTGTACCGCTACAAAGCAATATTATTAGTGTTTTCTAACCATTGGGTCCAACTCCTCCAAGACAACTTTCTTTTCTTTTTTTTTTCGTTTTTTTCATCATATTTATTAGTGTTATTTCGGCGGGTAATTTACCACCTTGGGATTTGCTATTAGTGTTATTTCGGCGGGTCCAACTCCTCCAAGACAACTATTAGTGTTATTTCGGCGGGGAATTTCGGCGGGTAATTTACCACCAGTCTGTCCAAGTTCTATTGGGATTTTAAAGGGAGGCCTTCCTTTCCTTGCATGTTTTCCGTTTACAACTAGTAACACAAAACAATTCATCAGTAATTTGTTGCACCGACCGGACTCTCTTTCACTTATAAATTACTAGTAGCAGGACAGCAGCATGGATTATTCTTCTTCTGCTCTCAGATTGGCTTTCTCCCGCGAGCTGCTATCTTGTGTTTCTTTCCGGAATCGACCATGTCTCGTGCTAATATTGCTGTAGGGTTCCGATTTAACCCTACAGAGGCTGAACTTGTTTGCCATTATCTTTACAACAAAGTCATGGGTCTTCCTCTATCTTGCCCTTACATTGTTCAAGATTATGATCTATATGGTCATGAGGAGCCTTGGCAAATATGGGAAAATTTTGGAGAATACAATAACACTACTAGTGATGGTGAGGATGATGATGAAGTTGAGGCTGGTCCGTCTCCTCAGGATGATCTTTTCTTTTTCACAAATTTGAGAAAGATAAACCCTGGCATGAAATCCTCCAAATTTGATCGTGGTGTTGGGTCCAGTGGGGGCCGTTGGCATGGTGACGATGTTCATTCATTCCATTCCAAAGGAATTACTTGGAATCGAAGGAGATATTGTTACAAGAATCCGAATATAGGCACTCCTGATGCTTCCTGGATTATGTTGGAGTATTCCCTCGATGATTCTCTTATGCAGAATGTTCCTCATTATACTGTGCTCTGTCG